AATATGAAAATGTTAAAGATATTCTTCTTTAGTATTGTTAAATATAAGAATATCATCAAGATAAATAATAATAAATTTATCTAAATAGTTATGAAAAATACTATTTATAAAAATCATGAAAGTTATGAGCATATTAATAAGATCAAAGAGTAGTACAAGAAATTTATAATAATTATATCTTGTTTTAAATGCAGTTTTATAAATATTTTCTTTCTTGATTCTGATTTAATAATATCTAAAGTAGAAATTCAATTTAGAAAAGTATTATGCTCTAGCTAAGTAATCTATTAATTTATTAATATAAAGTAAAGAATAATAATTTTTAATTATAATTTGTTTAAGATATGATAATCTATATAAAGTCAAAGAGTTTCTTTCTTCTTATGTATAAATAAGACAGGTACTCTAAATGATGAAAGATTTAGATGAATAAAACCTTTGCTAAGTAAGTCAGATAATTATTTCTTCAGTTTATCCATTTAAATATAAGATAAGTAATATGTAGGGTGAAATAATAATTTAGAGTCAGGTATTAAATTAATAGCATGATCTATAATGCATTTTGATAGTAACTTATTAGAAAGTAAAATAGAAAATATATTTAGTAAATTCTTTGATTAGTTGAGTAACTTCACAAGAAGTTGATACTTCTTGATGTATTTCTTTTATTATAGTACAGATAGTAAATAACTCAGTGTTAAGTGGAATTTCAGCAAATTATTAATGAGAAATATAAATTGAATTGCAACTAGATATAAGTTTATCTTTGCTAACATTAATCTTGATTACTTTGTTACTATAGTTAAATGTCATGAAATTATTATGCCAGTTAATGATAAGATTAGTATGATAAAGTTATAGTTTATCAAGTATAAGATCATAATATTAGATATTAAGAACTTATATACTGATACCAAATATATGATAAGTATCTAACTTTAATTATTACAGATAAGTTGACTTCCTTTTTATAACTATTAGCGAGTTCTATAGTGATTGAATTCATATTATATATTTATAGTTGATTATTCTAAATATACATTTTATTAATAAAATTATATAATACTTCATTATTAAGTAAAATTCAAGCAGACTTTTTATTTATATATCTATTGAATTTTAGAAGTTTCTCATAATTATTCTTCAGATAAGCAAATTCAATATTATTATTTTGTATAGTAGTTACATTATTACTATTATCTTCAATATTATTAACTTTGACTTTTTCTTTTAAATAATAATTCTTGGTAAAATAATCCAGTTTATTACAGTTATAATAATTATGATTATTATTATTTTGGCTATAATTATTATTATTATTATTAGATTGATAAGAATCTTTAACATGATCTAGTTCTATAGATGTGAGACTAGTATTATTATACATATTATTATAAGAAGAGTTCTGATTTCTTTTATATTTTTGATTGCAATTATAATTACTATTTTTAAGAGGATGATTAATATCAAATATAACTATGTTATAATAAATTACAAGTTTCCAGATATTATTAAAAGTTTTTGGTACTTAATATACTACTTCTATTTTAGTTGCAAGTTTGAGATCATTAATAAAATATGCAACTTGATCTAATTCTCCTATGTTTTTAATTTGTTTTACAATATTTCTAAATTTAGTATCATACTTCTGTATAGTACCAGTTTGATAAAGTTGATGAAGTTAATGATGAAGATATTATTAATAGTTAGACAGTTGGAATATATTACAAATCTTAATAAGAAAAGACTTTCAATTTTCAAAAGTATGATTTTCTCTAATACTATATACTTTATTCAAATACTAATTAAGAGTGATATCTTCAAGATCAGTTCTAGTATATAAAATGCAAATTTATTTATCTGTAATTTCTTGTGCATAGTTATTTGTAATATACAAATATAATATTCTCATATAGTTCTCCTTTGTAAGTTGAAATCTTAAAAGGAATTCTTGATATAGGAGGGTTAGAATTTTATTAATCATCATCATTATTACTATTATTATAATTATTATTACTAAGAGTAATGGTAAGTTATTACTATTATTGAATAAGACTTATAAGACCAGTGAGAAGTTGTTGAAATTATTTATTTAAGAGATCAGAATTAAATATTATGGATATATATATGTGTGTATGTAAGTATGTGATATTTGAGTATAAGTGAGAAAGTATATAGAAAGAAAAAAGTTATTAGTAAGTATATATATATATATGTATGTGTAGTATTAATCTTTTCTACTGCTATCAAAGTTATAATCTTTCTAATTATATTATATAGTATATCAGAAAAATTCATACAGAAGATTCAAGATATATAACAATATTATTTGAAATAGAATTCATATAGAAAACTAATTCAAAACAAATAAGATTATTATATTTAAAACTTATTTTTTATTTGTTATTGTTGATAATAAAAATACAAAACAGAAATAGTATCTTTAAATAATAATTTAATATTATATAAAATTAATAATATAATAAATAAATTAATAATAAATAATACTTATATAGCAATATCTCTGAAAGATACTTATTAATGAATAAATAAAGAAATAAATAATTATAAATAAAATATATAAATATAATAATATGCTAGCTAAATTAGTAAAATAAGAGAAAAAAGAAATTTTATTAAGAAAATTATCAATAGCTAAAATAGCTTAAATATACTATGTGACTTTATGAGGTGATTTTTGTAATATAGTATCACATATAATATAGTAATGATCTATAAGAGAAAAAGAAAATTTAGATTTGTTATAGATAAATAACAGAAACAGAAGAAAAGTCTTTGAGTCAGTTTGATATAAAATATTATAATAGGAGTAACTAGCTAGAATAAAAGAAAAGTAAAAATTATGAAACTTTAATTAATTATAATATTGGAAGATGGAAGATGTGTATCAGTTACTTAAGTTAGAATTAGTCTATAGCTTAACTAATAGAAAGTAAAATAAAATTTTGAATAATTAGTTTTCTAGCCACAAGAAAACTAGCCAAATATGAGCATTGTAATGTATATTATGAGCAAGAAAGAATATGTGTACTTGATATAATAAGAAAAAAAAATGAAATTTTTGTGCAAAAAATAGTATAATTTTATGTGAATATTATTAATATAATAATATGATGTAATATTCTGAAAAGAAAGTAAACAGATGCAAGCCATGATAAAAAGAGGTATGTATATATAAATAAATAATAAAAAAAAGATTAGAGAAATTATTAGTAGGATAGTCAAAAGACAAAGATTATGTATGAAAAATTTGCAAGAAGTAGAGACAAAAATGAAAGAAAGTTTAGAAAGAGAAGAAAGTAAAATGAGTATAATAGTTATTAAATGATTTGTGTGGAGTTATAGAAAAAATTCCAGGCTTAATCAGGTGAGAGTAGCAATCTAACTATTAATTTTAATACTAACTACCAGAGAATATGAATATAGGTATTTGCAAAGAAGAATTAAAAGACAAAAGGGTGAAGTGTAATAAGAAAATATTTCATACTTGACTAGGTGAGAACAGCAATCTAACTGTGAATATTGTGACTTATAATAAGTTGAATGTGAGGATGATAGTTATAACTCTCATATTATGATAATTGTGAGTATGGGAAAAGGAAGAAAATATGTGAAAGAAAAAAGTTTTTGTGTGTGTTAAAAGTGTGTGTAGAGTTATAATAAGTAGATACCAGACAAGAAAGAAGCAGTTCTCTAGGCTGCTAGATTCTGATATATGACTTGCCTTGTAATAAATATTAATTACATTATATGAAAACTCTTTAAAATAAAGTATGCGATAAAATTTCCTAATTTCCATGAGATATAATGGAAAGAAATGTGTCAAGAGATTTATTATTATTATTATTATTATTATTATTGTTATTATTATTATTATAACTACTATTACAATTATATATATTCTCAAATATAAGATTTATATCAAGCTTAATTGCTTTATTTATTAGAAATATTTTGTAATCTTTCTAGAATTTAAAGTTATTTTTATCGCATTGTAAAATAAAATAAATAATCATTACTATGGCAGTTACTTAATAAACTTTACCTTCTAAAGTGAGTTGATTTGATATCGATATCGATACTATATGCGATAGTTACATATGCTAGAATTTTGTAAACAAGTGCATGTACTTTAAAATATTAATGTTCATACCTCCATATAATCACATCCTCGAGAACAGCAAAAAGTGTGACTATTTGAAGATTATAATAACCAGTACATGTATCGGAAAATCTGCGAATGTATGGAAAGTGCATGACTGTACTGTATTTTTTGACAAATGATTAATTGCCTTCATTGGGAATATACAAGCTAATACTTGTAAAACCTAAAAGTTTGATATTAAAATCACTCCGAAATGTCACTTTGAATACAAAAGATACATAAATATGCATACCTGTATCAGTTGGAATTGAAATTAATTAGATTCGACTGGTGTAAGTGGATTTGTTGTTTTTTGTTTATATTCGTAGAAATGCCTTTTGATATTTAATTTTATCAAATTGCTTTCTTTCTAATTTAAGACACTATCCAATTTCTTCATCTGTTTTAGGATATTCTAAAGAGCTGTAGTACTGATAATGCAAAGTATTCAGTGCATCTATGCTTCCATACTAGAAAAAGTCTTTAAGTTTCTCAGCATTTGATCTGTTTTCTGGAATAGAATCTCAACATTTTTTAATAATAAATTTGCAACATTTGTTTCGTACAATAGGTCGTAATCCTTTATAGATGTCTATTACGAGATGTATAACACAACATGACGCCATTCACTAAAATGGTCGTTCACCTATTACAACCAATAGCGTACACCCTCTATCAACCTTATATCTGATTTATACCGCGTGCTATATTGGCTAAATCGGTATTACAACATTTTCTTATTTTTGGGTCAGAGATTCCAGGCTTCGTTTGTCTTGCAAGGCGCGTGAGTAATATCTCTTACCATAAATGTCCATTCTTCTGGCGTATTGCTATATTATTTAACCGATTCTTCATCATTATAGATATATGATCGAAGGGTACCCTCATACTCCCATTCACGTAAATAAATCTCCTCACTTATCAATCGCTCGCATCTGGACACAGCCATCCATTCTTCTGGATCTGCATCTGTCATCATTTCTATCCTTGCTAAATCTCTTTCTTTCTCAGTTATGATCATGAATGTGTCGGGATATTCACCATGATCGATGGCTAGACGTGCTTCCTATTATTCTTGGGTTAGGTAACTGGAATATAATGATATCTATTGTGGTGTAGTTTCTTCATTGCTAGATTCCTGTTCATTTATTACAGCTAAGTTGGGAGATATTTCATGTGTTTTAATAATAGGTTTGTTAATTTCGGGACTTTCAGCGTGAGCTTGAACATTTGTCCTAACAATTTCAGAATATTTAGGTGATGAAGCAAGTGAAGTTTTCGGTTGTTCCGATGCATAATCGAACAAATCTTGTGCCATTTTCTCCTCGCTTTTTTCGACGCAATCTGCATTTGATGGGGCGGATAATGTACCGGACGACCTATAATTTTTCAACATTACGATTAGTTTGTATTTGTTTTGATTTTCATACAAATCGAAATATATCTATTCATTACTTCTATCAATTCTTGCCTTGAATGTCAATCCCCATGTCGCCCGGTCCACTGTAAAATAAGAGAAAAAAATGAGTACATGCATCATCATCTTCAACGACTAAGAAAAACGTTCACTGTTTAAACAGTAGCCATGTGGAGCTTTCGATTTATTAGTCGTGTATCCTATTCACCGTAAAATCCCCCCCAGAGCCCAACCATTACAGGGGACACCGGCAAAAACGTTCACTGCTAAAGCGGCGGTCACGATGCAGTATATTTAATAATTTTACCTTCATTCGCTTCGTTTAGTTCATATACATTGACGTTTGTTGATTTAGCTACTGTACATCATCTTTTATTGGGGTGCGCGATATATTCAAAAAATTGTTCATTTCGTATGCTAACCATTTTTTATCGCTAAAATAACTTTTGCAACGAACAATTGTTATACTGTAGCAAAAGGAAATTGCTATCCAAGTTATTTAATTAGTTAAATGTTTTCTAATTGCTGTATTAGGAAGAATTTCGCTTTTGTTGGTGATACATGTAATTTCAAATAAGCACTTTTTGTCATATTTATATCAAAATTTTATTGTGTTTAATGCTGAACTTCGAATGCCCAAATCTTCTAAACTCACAAAAATGCAAGTTGGATCTGGAATTTCGTTTAGAACTTAAATGTTTAATTAATCTGAAATATTATTTTGATTGAATAAGTATCATTAAAGATTCGAGTTGTGTAAATTTTTTTATTGTATTTTGTTCGTATTTATAGGAATGGTTTTTGCCATTTTAACTTTTGCCATTCTTTGTTTAAAGCGCTCTTTAATTTTTTTTCTTCATTTGCAGTTCTGAAAATGAAATCGTTCTGTTCAATTTCCTATTGCATTTAAATGATAACTTCAGTAGAGACGATAAATACAGTAAATTTATACAATCGTAGGTCGAATATTCAACAATTGTTCACGCCGATCTCTTGCCAATTTTATGGCGCAGAGAAATTTTTCACATATACCCAAAAAATAACATTTTTACTTTTGCAAATAGTCTCTGAAAAATAATCTATAATCTCTGGCAAACAGCTACTACACGGAAACTTTACCGCATATTTGTATAACTTATAAAAGCACCATGTCCCAGCAAAGTACTCCAGCTTCTACTTCAACCACCACTGAGTATAAACCTGAAGTGGCTTGAAAATACAATGCAGAGCAACTTATCGAATTTTTGCATGAGCAAAAGGATCTACAGCTTATCGAAGAAGATTATGCTATTATTCACAATGAGAGTCACCGGTCGCGCCTTTCTTAAAATGACCGAACAAAAGTTTAGAGACGCTGGTTTCAAAGGTTGGACCTGCAACGGTTCTTGCAGACTACGCCAAGGAAGTCAAAGAGAAGAAATTAAAGCCATATTCATCGTATAAAACTGTGAATGGCTTTGAAGAGGGGATGAAAAAATTTGGAATCGATAGCAAAGAAATAAGTTGATATCCCACCATTCAATCCAAGTAAGTTATTTATTGTTGTATTGTTCTTTTCCCGAATCTCATGCGAAGCAGGCTGACCTATGTATTTCTTTATAGTAACGGAGAAACTTGAAAACGATGATGAAGATTTACAACATTGTATAAATGAAATTAAATATAGAATGATTGATATAGACTCAGCAACGGGCAGTAATGAAGCGTTACATTGCTAGCACATTTTCACAATATTACATGAGAACCTCAGTTAGAAGTTTTTGGTGATGAAGCGACGGGTCGTGTCGACTATGCTATCAAAAAGATAAAAGAAGTTCTTGACGCCAAATATGAAGAATTTATTTGCATTACCGAGGGAAAACAGGGATACATGCAAAATATTATGTAACTTGATATCGGATATCGCACAAACAGGAGAAAACGTAAGCATCTGAAACGTTTGATGATGCCTCTACGGCATCGTTAGTACTGGTAAGTAATAAAGGAAAGATTAATTTACATAGTCTGATATATAGCAAAATAAATTAATAATAACTTATGTCCTTAATATTAGCTATCGATTGGCATTTCATTGTGTATACGACAGAAAGGATTTACTGTACGAAAGCCCACTATGATGTTACACTTACTGAAGATATTTTAGAGGATGATTCGGAATTTCGACGGGATTTAAAGAAAGTTATGGAGGTAATTGTGGGTTTGTTGAGGATCGAGTTAATGTAGATGATTCGTCAGCTAGTAAAAAGGCTAGAACAGAAGAATATATCAAAAAACGAAAGTAGAAATTTATCCATGTTATTATATGGCTGAGATTTTTTTTCTGTACTCCCCTCTTTTTTTACATCCGATTTCCAAAGCATTCACTATTCGTCTTGAGTAGGTCATCGGCTCTAGGGATTTTTTATTCTTAAATAGTGTTGCTTTTGATTTTTCAAAGTTGACTGTCAATAAAACAGAAACCAGTTTAATCATATTATTAATATGTCCACCATTAATAAGCAAAATTTGAAGTGGAAGTAACCAATGGGAGTCCAGTTAAGGCGAAATTATCGCGGGGGGCTCGAAAGCGTATGAATGAAAGATTTAAATGGGAACTTGAAAAAGAGCTCGAATGATTTATAAATATGAAAACAACCACCCGCCAGCCCAAATATATTTTTTAATCCGTTAAAGGTAATAATTTACACTCCATGTTAATTAGCTTTATCTTTTCTTTGCGAAGCGGACCTTGGGTTACTGAGTTGTTATTCTTTTATGATGAACGGGGAATTATCTAAGTTACTTGTCGCGAGTTTGCTCTAATAAGTTATGCGATGCAAAAGGCGCATAATTATTTTACCCTATGGGTTTGCTGGCTCAGTTCTTTGACAAGGGTAATTATTCCGTTCCGCAAAAAAGATAACTTGGTCTTTTTTTTTGTTTGGCTGGAGAATTTTACTTTTTATTTTATAAAATTTTTAGCAAAAATGCGTTCACACAATTCTCTAACATCATTTTCTAGCACCGAACCCAATTTGCAACTCGGGGGTTGTGCACTTCCGATAAAATATATTGTATTGAAAACGAATGGATTGATATCCCTTTATGTCCCTTGGATCGTATATCGTCTAATGGAAAAAAAACACTTCACGGTATATCTCCGCGAGAATTGTTAGTAGAAACTTTAATTCGAGAAGCAAGATTGGAAGATACACCATATCCGAAATTCATGAAATTCCCTTAAACTTTTTGAAGTTAGTTGATACTGATATTGTTACCCCTGCTAATAATCGTCGTCAAATGATAAAAAAAAGTTTGTGGATTAGTTTTGGACGTTGGTTGGGGGAATGGAAGAACTGATTCGAAGAAGAGACGTCCGTGGGGCACGTAAGGTTGCAGAACACGCTGTGAATATTCGAAATATTCAGAATACTTCAATGTCAAATCCTGTACGCCTCGTCCGAAAAACGAAGAAACATCAGCACGAAATAATTTTATTCACTGGAAAGGTTAGAGAAGTTCTGTTATATTGTAAAACCGGAATGTGTTGTAGATGAAGACTTCTCTACCTAGAATTGCTGGCTAATTTAGATGCCGTCATTAAAGCAACCGATTAACTTTTACTATTTTCATACGTTAGATCATCCGACACATAGGAGCGAAATTTTTTTCAAATTTCATTGAGCACTTCGGGGCGTTTACTTTAAATAATCTCTTACCTTCCGTTAGTTCAAATACTACAAGCAGACACAATATCGAGCATTTAGAATATATTGATAAATCACTACATAGTCTTACCAATATGTTATTATAGCATAATATATTAAATTAGTAAAATCTTGTATTAATTTATTTAAATTTAATAGAATTAAGCAAAAAGTTCTAAAGTAATATCTAAATTATTAGATACTAAATCTAATGAGTTTAATAAATTATATTTTAGCACTTTTTGAATAAAAATAAGAAAATATTTTCAGATAAGATATAAATATTATGTTAAATATATTAGAATAACTAATCAAGAATACAAAAAAATTAGATATATAAACTATAAATTCTTATGAATTAATATATAAGAATATTATATCATCAATATAATAATATATAAGAAATATATTGTCAATGTCTCACGAGCGTTTGAAAATGATGTTGATAGTATGAATGGATAAGACAACGAGAATTCAAATTCAAAAAATTATATAACATATTTTTCATTAACAACGTTTCAAAATATCGTATAAATAACTTTACAAACCGAACAACAAACGCTCTAATGAAAATGTGTCGAAAGATTCAAATAAACAGATATCAATAAGGTGGAAATAGGGATTAAATCGATTCTAATAGAAAAATAGAAAGTAGATTTTATATTTAATTCTATTTTTAATAAGAATCATATATGCATAATATTTATAAATAAATAATGTTTCTAATATCACATATCTTATTATTATATTATTCGCTAATCGCGTGCGACGGTGGTTGTTACATAATACTTCTCGATTTCCAAGTGATCGCAATGAAATATCATCGTCAAATGATGTTCTAAAGCAAGAGATTATACATCTCAAGTTATTTTTGCCGTCTAGAGGATTAGAATTGTGGCCTGGCATCTCTTAAAGCAAGACGACATAATGATATCATTTTTGGTTCGTTCGCTCTGATCATAAGACCTGAATCTGAGTTTTTTTGCACATCCTCATTTCTAGACCTGTTTTGCATCACCTTTAATGATATTGTTACGTGTAATTCAGCAGTTAGTGAGACTAAAGTATTACAAGCGCAACAAGAAGACTGAATAATTTACACAGAGTGGGGGTATCACTATGGTTCTAAAGGTCTCTCGCGCCAGTCTACACGGAGATTGTACAATCAAAGGGGCAGAGTTTAAAGGGGAAAATTAGAGCAAATAATAATAATATTTAATACAGACATAGCACCAGCGTATGAGATAAGATATAAATTTACTATATTTCAATGTGAAAATTCAAAGATACTAATAATAAAACAATCTAATAATGTAACTAATACTAATTCACTAAATAATTATTGAATTACAAATTAGGTCTCCAATAAATAAGAATTACTAAGGTTAATCAAAGGGATATTTCAACAAGTCAAGAGTTCAAATGAAACATAGGATCAGATATGATTCATCAATTTTGTATGACCAAAGCAAGTAAAACCTTCGATTTGTTAAGCGTAAAAAAAAATTAAAGCTATTGATTTTGTTATGACACAAAAGAAATAAAAACTACGGAATGTTGGATAAGGGTTATTAAGATTAATTAGTTTTTATTTATTTTCTTCAAACCACACGAAAGTTGTCCTTTTATATATAATTATTATTCATCGAGGTCAACAGAAATATTATTAGTAATATACGATATTATTTAGCTTTACATGAAATACCTAAAAAAATAATAATGATAGATGAGATGACAATTCAACAAGCATCTTTTTCTATTGATGCACTAATTTTTCGGTTGAAACGCGCGTTATCGGAAAATAAAGATACCGATAAACTAAATCATCTCTATTAATGACTATTTTTTCAGCGTTATCGGAAAATAAAGATACCGATAAACTAAATATTGTTTGTATAACCTTCCAAAAATTATGTTTACAAAGGTTAGCTTAATCTGCATGTTATCTTCAGCAGACGTTTTATTTGAAAGATTTATCGTTATTGTTCCATCTATGCCTAAACTTACATTAATAAATATACTATGAAAAAGGTGTTAATTGAATTATAAGGTATTTAATAATCAAATTATTTTTGAATCAAAGTCCTCTAAAAAAAGTAATTCATTAATAAATATTCATTTATCTTAAAATGGTATCCTATTCGCAAAAGCCGTATTCTCTATTAAATCTTATTTTTCACTCCCCAAACGATAACATTCTTCAAAACTTGTCAGGATTTGAATTTTATTCACCTAATTTGAAATCATAGTAAAATTTTCTAGATACTGTACATGTTACGCATTGTCTTATAAGTTTATGCACGTAAATGTTGACATGCACATGTACGTACATGTATGAGGTTTCTTTCATTTAATTCATGCACATCAAAAATGCATAGACACTTAAATAATCTCATTTTATTATGCATAAGATAAAAATTTGATTTGCAATACAATGACTCTTTTTAACAAAACAATAACATTAATCCAAGAATACATGCACGAACACTTATTTTTTTTAAATTTCAAAGTTTAAATAAATTTAATAAATATAACACATAAATATACTAAAAACATTTTATAAATTGAATCCAAGGATGGATTCTAAAATTTCTAATGCATATATAATTGACATTTTATTATAATTATGGGTCAGTGCAAAAAGATTTGTACCTCAGATAAATATTAATAGATTATTTTTAATAAAATTTTAATTCTGTCTTATTTAATTAAGTTATTAGATATTAATGTAAAAATTTTTATTACATATCTTTTATAAAAAATTTTTTATTAATAATAACTTTTTTCAATTATTATTTCTTAAATTTTACTATATAAAATTTGATTAAAATTAATATAAAAATTATATAGTAAATAATTTAATTACTTAACTTTGAATCTTAATATCTTTATAATTACTGATTCAATTTTTATGAAATTTAGAATATATATTTATCAAATCTAGGGCAATCTGCTTGCATAATTCCAAGTTTTAATATTGCAAATTGATAATAATAATATTTAAAATGCCTTTTTTAAAAAAATAATTTTATTTTAGTTTTTTTAAGTAAAGAATGCTTCATTTATTATTAAATTAAAGTATAATAAAATAGTTAAAATAGTATAAAAAGTTAATTTAGATCATTTTTTTATTTAATATAAAAAAATTATAAAGATTGGAATGATTTTTATTAGAAGTAATTATTGATTTTTATATCAAGATACAAATCTTTTTGCACTGACCTACCTATATATTGTATTTTAAAACTTATTGGAAATAAAAATATAAAAATTATGTGTCTAATAATATGTTTTTAGCAAACAAAATAACAGATAATTTTTACTTTGATAATATGTCTATGTATTCGAAAAAATAATAAACTTTAATTTTTAGAATAAAAAGTATAAATAAATGCAAAATAAAAGAAATATAAAATGAAAGTTTCGCTTCGGGCTTTGATTTATGTTGTATCGGAAGAGACGGATTAAGACTTGTTTATTCTGTGCGCCCAAATTGCTATACATAGTGGTCATAAAAACGCCAAAAGCGGAGACAATGAAAATTTTCACTTTGCATTATCTTTAAGTTTCTTGCATCTCATCTGTGTGACAAAATGTTTTTTCACATGTGTTCAAGGTAAAAAGATGCAGCTTAAAACCCCATTCCCTAACCTCTCGAAAATTCATTTTTTCATCGTTTAGTTAATTCTTTCATTTTAATAGACATGTCTATCCTACTCAACTGTTTGATTGTTGGTGAAAACCCTTATGAAAATGTTTTCCCGATTATCATCAATATTAGCGAGGTTAGTACTATCGGTCTTCTCAGAGAATCAATCAAAGAGAAGCAACCTCGTACTTTCGCCAACGTTGATTCGAAAGAACTCAAGTTATGGAAAGTTGATATTCCTCTCAACAAGCTAAACATTGTCAACACCAAATTTAACATCGAGGATAAGTTCTCAGGCGTGAAACAATTGTCCCCGCTAGATGAATTCTCGGAAGAATTTGCCAGTCAACCTCCCAAAAAACATCTGCATCTCATCGTACAAGCTTCTGGAGATGATGTAATAGCAAAGGATTTTTCGGTATATATATATATATATATGTTCTCCAATGTTTATATTTTTGGTGCGAGTTGTTCATAATCAGATGCAATTAATAGAAAATGAAAAATGAGCCTCAATCCACGTCCAATATCAACGAAATCAATCGGTGCGAATCCCGCTTCTCCGTCGTCACTATCAGCATACAATCAATGATTAGCACGACTACGGCTCTGCGTAAGTAATGGGGTTAATGTTTTATTCACTCGGTTATGATCCATTGAATATGCACAGAATATTCAATTAGTATTCATAATATCTTTTAACAGCAAACCAGTCAACGTTTTCATGGATTTATGAAAAGATAAAAAACGCATTCAAATTTGGAAACCAAGCTGAGCAAACACCGGAAGAGGTTATAAGTGACGTGTTAAAAGAATGCTCGGTATGTGTACCTTCCCTTCCCGTTGATGCTTTCTTATATTTTTCTCATGCGAATTGCTCACGATTTATAAAAAATGAAAAAGGCAAAATCACCTGTTACCAACGCCAATGGAACAAATCGTTGCGAATCCCGCTTTGCCCTCGTCAATTACTGTCAGCAATACATGGTTACCACAACTACTGAAACGTAAAAGGAGATACTCGATTAACAATCGCGAAATAATTAACATACGGAAGAAATTGGAAAATGTCATGTCAATCAGTAGTTTTAATTTATTCTGTGATCCATAAAGCAGACATTCGGGTCTGTTGGTTACGCATCCTTTGCATAACATAAAGTGGTTCTATTATAGATTAATTAAAAATAAAATTATCAATCAAACACAAAGTGAGGTTGTTTTGCTTTGCAACTGGATGATATGTCCCATAAAAGTACGATAATGTTTAGTGTTGCCGGTTTTCACACTAGCCTGAATTTAACGAAGCTAATACGTATGATTCATCTAGGTTTTATTCTTTTGGCTGCAAATTTTTTATTGCAAACCTATAAAAGCAGGCGGTTTTCATGATGACGAATAGTTTCGTCACGTCATTCGTTTGTGACAATTGTGGGCAGATCGAGACACGAGACATTAGATGTACATGTGAGGTCAACCGAGATTAATAGTAAAAGTCTTCAGGCAGAAAAAATTGAAACCGTTTATTTTTTTCAATTTACGCAACTTGTTCGCGAATGAGCTTTGCAGATGTATCTGGTCAGAAGATAATAATGAAAAAAGGTGCGAAGGAATTTCCTTTTTATCACGATTCATTCCATTGTCGGTATCATTATTAGCATTACATAATGATTACAAGTGTTTGTTATTTATTATAGTTTTTTGAATTTGGCCATTCCTTAGAAAAATCTAACCAGAAATTATGAAATGCTTCCTTATATTAGTCTAGTTATGTACGAGATTGTAACTGGTGAACGACATTTGGTGGGCAGAACTACAATAAATATCTCTTATGCGACATTATAGAGGAAATACCAAATTACATTCCCGGATGGTACAAATTTATCATTGAAAAATGCTGGATCCTATTCCAGAAATCAGATCGAATTTATCGCTTTAAATTCTTCACGTGCTTTATAATGTTAAATGCAAGAGTTTCGGGGAATAGCGAGACAGAGGAAGTGGAATTACAGCAAACATTTCTATAAACAAAAACAAAGAAAACCAATTGATATAGATACGCGCATTTATTTTCGAAATGGCACTTCAGATTGATTTAAAATATGGGCCTACCCAATATCCCGACACCCATCTTCCCAAAAATCCAACATCCCGAGAATCCAACATACCGACAACTCAACTTCACTTCCAAAAATCCCGATAATCTAACTTCCCAACATCCAGCTTCCCGACAAACTAGAATTTCTGGTTATTATAGGGATCGACCACTAGCAGAATAACGGATCTTCATTTAAAAATGTAAAATGGTATCGGAAAGTTGTCTTTGTCGGACGTTGGCTTTATCTGGATGTTGGCTTGTCGGGATGTTGGAATTTCGGGAAGATAGTGTGTCGGGATGTATGGGCGACACCCTTAAAATATATGTATATTTATAGTTTACATTTTTTTCATGAAGGAAATAAATGATTTTTATTTTTTTCGATCATACATACTCACTTTTCAAACTTTTAGATTAACGTTAATTATATAAAAAAAACTCTACTATCAAAAAAACTACATGTATAACTAATTTTAGAATTAAATTTTTTATAGTGAAAACAATTATACATATCCATGTTCGTTATTATTTGTCACATGTACATGTACTAATGTTAGTGACGAATTGTTCTAAGATACATATACATGTACATGTATTTAATTTATATAATGTAAATGTAATCTGTGCATATAAAGATAACATAGGATTTATCAATTATTATAGGTTTCGTCAATTTGTCAATTCGTTAAAACAAAAATTACTTGACGAAAGATTTCGTCATCGCACCGACAGTGAGAGACCACTCCAAAAAAAGGTAAAAATAAAGTGAATTTTTCAACACTACTTCACATTCTCCATATCGTTTATCTCAGCTAGACCTTTCAGTTAGAAAATCCTTTTGTTCCGGTACATTTACTATAATCATAAGTATTCGATTCATCTTTAGTTCACGTAAATGAACATGAATTGCCTGAAAATAAAACACGCGACAATTACGTAAGTGTACATTATTATGATTCAAATTCTATGTTCATGTTACAAAAAATTTTTATTGCGTGTTTTATACATTACACACTGTATAACGATCCCTTGTATAGTGAGATTGAATACTACGAACTTTTGAAAATCCCTGACTATTTAACGATACATTACCAAAGTATCGTCATTCCGAAATCCAAAAATATCTCGATATTCATTCGGGATGCCGATCATTCGGGATTTCGTTTGCCGGGTCGGGCTTTATGAATTGTTGGGGATGTACAGTACATGTGCCAACTTTGTTAAGGTTTTATTTATCGATGCGTATAAACTAGTTTTTTATAAAGCTTTTATTTTTTATTGATTAGAAGAAACACTGTATTCAATACATGACGTTATACGTATTCTCCGCAACAAAAGCATATTTTCAAAGCTTAATATGAAATATTATTCAACTTTGGTGTATTACTTATAGTCGTTTTTGGTTTTTGGAGCATAAACAGTCATTCGTAAACAGTCATTCGTAATCCCACATTGAATCTGTTATTTAAGAAATAGGACTTATTTAGAATGATCGACATCTATATCCGAATGTGGGTTCGGGATGCTGTTCTTTCGCGATTTCATTTATCGGGCTTATGAATGTTCGGGATGTTGAATTTACCAAAAGTATATATGCAAAAATATATGGGTGCAAGACGAGAGATAAAATTATCTGATTTTCGATGGCATCTACTTTCATCAATGATATCATAGAACATCCCAGGAATGGGAATTCTATAAAGGGGTGACCTCTATAAAATAACAAATACAGTAACGATAAGTCTTTACGCAGTTCTAAATAGGCAAAAACAAAAGATTATCGAACAAACTTTTTTTCAAGACAACAAACGTAAAAAAAGTAAATGTCTTCGTCTTCGTATACTACAAATGACTGGTTGGAATACGCTAAATCAGAAAAACAAATAAAATTTTTTGATTTTAATAAATTTTCTGATAACGAAATAATCGGAAATGGTGAAGTCTATAGAGCCGAGTTAAAAGATGAAGATTTAACTGTTGCTTTAAAATGCATTTATATCAAAAATAAAGCACGTAATGAAGAAACAATCAAACAGTTTATAAGAGAGGTATGTTATGTATCACTCTCTTAAGCTTCATTTATGACTTCCCGGTATTAATGAAACCATACTTCACTCTATAGTTAAAAATTCTTACTCATATTAATTACCATAAAAATATTGTTCGCTTTTACGGAATCACTCAAGGTAAAATATATTGCATTAATTTTTTTCCAATTTAACTTATTAATAAAGATGTTTTTCAGATCCGATCTCTAAGAAGTACATGCTTGTTTTGAAATATGCTGATGACGGAACCCTTAAAGAATATTTAAACGCTAATTTTAACAAAATGAGTGGCAATGATAAACTGAGCTTGGCCAAACAACTCGCTAAAGGAGTAAAATTTATACACGAGGCAGGCATTATTCATCGAGATTTAGTAAGCAAATTTTAGTGTTAGTTTTAAATTTGATTTTTGTAAAGGCATGTACTAATGTTTGTGTTTAATGTAGAATCACAACAATATACTAATTCATAAGGGAAAAATTAAAATTTCTGACTTGGGTTATTCAAAACTTTCAAATGATTCGAAAACCGATTTGGACGTCATAAGTTACATTGATCCCGCATTCCTAAGAGATATGGCAAATTTTAAACGGAATAAAAAATCAGACATCTTCAGCATTGGTGTGCTATTTTGGGTTATTTCCAGCGGTCGTCCTCCCATTAATCAATATTGGTGTACTTTCTGTTCTTCATCAGAGAAAGAAAAAAGAATCTGCGAAACGCCAGATGAATACGTTAATCTTTATCAAGCATGCTGGGATGATGTACCAACATATCGACCGGATATCAATGAAGTAAATAAACGACTTCAAGAAATAGAATGGCCAGCCACTTCGTCTGCTTTTGTTTTAAATAAGCCAGATTTTACAGCCTCTAAAAAATCATCAGATACTAATAACATTAATCTGGGTTCCGTTGATGAAAATGGACACAGTCCTCAGCTAGGATTAGGTATTTCAAATGATAAGAAATACTACAATATTGTTGACGATTTAGTAGCTCTATTAAGTAATTTGCTCGGTAAAGAGGAAAATTTAGACAGAATAGGTTCCGAATTACAATCGTATTACGACTTGCACAGTCAGGGTCCTTTTAAAATTCAGAATTATTTGGAAGTTAATGCTCGATATAAGCTGCTCTTAGGGTTTCTTTTTCAAACCGGATTTATAGTTGAAAAGAATGTTTCATTAGCTTTGAATATTTATGTAGAGTTATCAAGAGAAAACAACACTTCAGCTCAATTCTTGTTAGGTTATATTTGTCATGTTGGAATCGGAGTACAAAAAGACGAGAAGGAAGCGTTCGAATGGTATTTGAAATCAGCAGAAGGTGGAAATGCGATAGGACAACGTAGTCTTGGTTGGTGTTATCAAAATGGAATCGGAATACAAAAAGATGAGACAAAAGCATTTAAATGGTATTTGAAATCAGCAATGAATGGAAACGCGATAGGACAATGCAGTCTTGGTATATGTTATGAAAATGGAATCGGGGTACAAAAAGATAGGGGAAAAGCTTTCGCGTGGTTTATGAAATCAGCAGAGGGTGGAAACGCAAAAGGACAATGTAATCTTGGTATATGCTATCAAAATGGTTATGGAACGCAAAAAGATGTAAACAAAGCATTTGAGTTGTATTTAAAATCAGCAGAGGGTGGCGACGCAGGAGGACAATGTAATCTTGGTTTTTGCTATCAAAGCGGGATCGGAATACAAAAAGATGAGAAAAAAGCACTTGAATGGTATTTGAAATCTGTAGAGGGTGGAAATGCTTTAGGACAACGTAACCTTGGTAATTGTTATATGCATGGTAAAGGAACACGAAAAGATGAGAAAAAAGCATTTGAATGGTACTTAAAATCAGCAGAG